ATTCAACAAGAAGTGATTTCCTGTGAAGCTTGTAGCTCAATACAAGCCATGGATGGGACCCTGAGACCCTCCAAGAGCCCGCTGGGAGCTCTGTTGACTACAGCAGCAGTTGAGATGCTTTGTTCTCATGTTGCTCTATGCCTGCCCGGCAATGCCAAGAGCCTGATAGCTGCAGCTCTCCACCAGTGCCACTGTCTCCAATGTGGCCTTCCTGTCTTTCCCATTAAAGTCCATCCCAAGAGAGCAATTAGGAACAATCCTGTTCTTCAGCAGAGCCGATGAGTTAAGCCTCCAATGTCTTGTATCCAAACTAGCTCCTGTCTGGGAAGGAGGAGGGTAGCAGTGATGTGATGCTTGGTTTGGGGACCACCCCTCAACAACGCTCTTGGGGTTTGCTTTTGGTGCGTCTGCTGGATACACCCAGATGCAATACATTTGATCAGGTATGTGTCCATACACATTATTTCTGGATATCTCAGTAAATGGTTCTGCCAGCCACTGGCGCAGGGTTTTTGCAGCATGTCCCCCCACAGCCCCCCTCACCGTGATGCTGGGGGCTGGAGATGGGAGGGTTTGGCTGTAAAGGAGTAGCCAGATCCTGCAGATCTTGAGACCCCAAGGGATTTCTCCTTCCTGGTACCCTAGAAATGAGATTGGTGGACTCAGACCAGGAGGTTTCTCCCATCCTGGCCCTATAGATGCAGCTGATGTTTTTTCCATTGCAGGTCCAGCTGCACTGCTTCATAGCTGATAACGGGCTTGTTGCAAGGTTGCATTCCCCCATAAGGTTCCCATGACCCTCTAAATCATCCAGGGGGCTTGGCTGTCCCTTGCATGGTGCCCCCTTTGGTGTTCAGCCAGCAGCATCTCTGGACCACTCTGTCTGGCTTTACTGGCCCAGCTCTCCCCAGCCACTGGGAAGCTTGAGTGAGGGCTAGAGCCATATATTTGTGTGGATGGTGGAGCGACCCCTGCTGCAAATGTGTTCATGAGCTGCTTGTTGCGAGCGTTACCCAATGCATTTTCCATGGAGCATTATTTCCTTTGGAGGAAGCTCCACAGCATGCAAGCTGTTGCTGTGCTATGGAGGTTTTTCTCACCTGGAGAACCATGTGGCTTGGGAGAAATTCAGCAACAGGCTGCAGGAACCCACCTGTGAGACAATTCCTCTGGGATGGAGGAGTTTTCCACCCCCAGTTACCGGAGCACCACCATCCAGCCCAGCATCACCACTCCCGGGTCACAGAATCACAGAATCACAGAATGGTTGGGGTTGGAAGGGAACCTCTGAAGATCATCTAGTCCAACACCCCTGCTAAAGCAGGTTCACCTAGAGCAGGTTGCACAGGATCACATCCAGGCAAGTTTTGGATATCTCCAGAGAAGGAGACTCTACAACCTCTCTGGGCAGCCTGTTCCAGTGCTCTGTCACCCTCAAAGTAAAGAAGTTTTTCCTCATATTCAGATAGAACTTCCTGCGTTTCAGTTTGTGTCCATTGTTCCTTATCCTGTCGCTGGGCACCACGGAAAAGAGTCTGGCCCCATCCTCCTGACACCCGCCCTTAAGGTACTTGTAGGCGTTGATAAGATCCCCTGTCAGTCTCCTCTTCTCCAGGCTGAACAGACCCAGCTCTCAGCCTTTCCTCATAAGAGAGATGCTCCAGTCCTCTAATCATCTTTGTAGCCCTCTGCTGGACTCTCTCCAGTAGTTCCTTGTCTTTCTTGAACTGGGAAGCCCAGAACTGAACAGAGCACTCCAGATGTGGCCTCACCAGGGCAGAGCAGAGGGGGAGGATAACCTCCCTCGACCTGCTGGCCACACTCTTCCTAATGCACCCCAGGATATCATTGGCTTTCTTGGCCAATGGCACATTGCCAGCTCATGGTTAACTTCTTGTCCACCAGGACTCCCAGGTCCTTCTGCGTGGAGCTGCTTTCCAGTAGATCAATCCCTAACCTGTACTGGTGCACGGGGTTATTCCTCCCTAAGTGCAGGACCCTACACTTGCCTTTGTTGAACTTCATTAGGTTCCTCTCTGCCCAACTCTCTAGCCTGTCCAGGTGTCGCTGAATGGCAGCACAGCCTTCTGGTATATCAGCCACTCCTCCCAGTTTTGTATCATCAGCAAACTTGCTGAGGGTACGCGCTGTCCCTTCATCCAGCTCACTGATGAATGAGTTGAACAAGTCTGGACCCAGTACTGACCCCAGGGAACACCGCTAGCTACAGGCCTCCAACTAGACTCTGCACCGCTGGTAACAACCCTCTGAGCTCTGCCATTCAGCCAATTCTCAGTCCATCTCGCTGTCCACTCGTCTATCCCACGCTTCCTGAACTTACCTATGAGGATGTAATGGGAGACAGTATCAAAAGCCTTGCTGAAGTCAAGGTAGACAACATCACTGCTCTCCCCTCATCTACACAGCCAGTCATGCCATCATAGAAGGCTATCAGATTGGTCAAGCATGATTTCCCCTTGGTGAATCCATGTTGACTATTCCTGATAACCACCTTTTCCTCCACATGCTTGGAGATGACATCCAGAATGAGCTGTTCCATCACCATCACCTTTCCAGAGATGGAGATGAGGCTGACTGGCCTGTAGTTTCCTGGGTCCTCCTTCTTGCCCTTTTTGAAGATTAGAGTGACATTGGCTTTTCTCCAGTCCTCAGGCACCTCTCCTGTTCTCCATGACCTTTCAAAGATGGTGGAGAGTGGCTTAGCAATAACATCTGTCAGCTCCCTCAGCACTTGTGGGTGAATCCCACCAGGGCCCATGGATTTGTGGGTGTCTGGTTTGCCTAAATGTTCTCTGACCCGATCCTCCTCAACCAAGGGAAAGTCTGCCTTTCTCCAGACTTTCTCTCCTACCTCCAGGACCTGGGATTCTTGAGGGCCGCCCTTAGCAGTAAAGACTGAAGCAAAGGCGGCATTCACTTACTTCCCCTTTTCTGTATCCTCCATCACCAGGGCACCCACCTCATTCAGGAGTAGGCCCACATTTTATCTAATCTTCTTTTTGCTACTGATGTATTTGAAGAAGCCCTTCTTGTTGTCCTTGACATCCTTTGCCAAATTTAATTCCAAGTGGACCTTAGCCTTCCTCACTGCATCCCTGCATACTCTGACAACATTCCTGTATTCCTCCCAAGTGGCCTGTCCCTTTTTCCACATTCCGTAAACATCCTTCTTCCATTTGGGTTTTGCCAGAAGCAAGGTGTCCTTCCCGCTTTACTTGATTTCACAGGGATGCATCAGTCCTGGCCTTGGGGGAAGTGATGCTTGACTATAAACCAGCTCTCTTGGACCCTGCTACCTTCTAGAGCCCTGACCCATGGGATTCCTCCAAGTAGGTCCTTGAAGAGGCCAAAGTTAGGTCTCTTGAAGTCCAGGGTTGTAATCCTACTTATTGACCTGCTTCTTCCATGCAGGATCCTGAACTCCACCATCTCAACTGAGCATCCCCAGGCTGCAACTCTGGGGGGGGCAGCTACAAAGGAAAAGTCTCCGTGTTGCCAAAGCCAGGCGTTCAGTGTGCCTCCCAGCTGCCCATGTGCCCTCTCCTCTCCGGAGACTTCCCACCACCACATAGGGGTAGGGGACTAGACTCCCTTTGCTCAGAACCTGCCTGCCCCAAGGACAAGAAAAAGCAGTATTTAGGGCTCAAGCAGTGGGTTCGTGGGAAAACACAGTTAAAAAAAGGGCAAAACAACAGAGAATTTTATTAAGCTTCAGCATCTCAGCTAATTTTCTCCCTCCCCTTCCACTTTGCACCAGGGTTGGTGGTGCAGGAGATGGAGCCTCTGCCAATGGCAGAGCACAGCATCCCCCAGCCTGTTGGGGGTCTCTGGGGAGGGGTGGGCACAGGCTCCCCAGGCAGAGCCTGGAGGGGTCCCAGGCGGAGGTCCCAGGAGCCCTGTGTCCCAAAACAGAGGTGCAGACTGCTCAAAGGGGTGCAGGAGAGCCCCAGGATGGTGCTCCCCAGCAGGCAGGCAGAGCTGCACCCGCGCATGGTGTGGCACCGATGGTAGGTGCCAAAGCTTACAGGACCCCGCTGCTTTCCTCCTGGCTGCCAGCAGCCCCAGTGGGAAAGCCAGCGGCGACCAGATGGCTGGTTGAGCCTGGGCAGGTGTTTGTCCAGCCTCCAAACCGTGAGCTCACCCCACAAACTCCCCTCCGGAGTCTGTCCAGTCCCTCCAATGCTGGAGATGGAGAATATTTGCAGCTGTTGAAGCTGATTTTCATGGGGTACCCCTCCTGCACACCCAAAGCCATCCCAATTTGCGCTCTTGCTGTGTCTCTGTACCCTTTTGCACTATCAGCCAACCCACATCCAGCCCTTAACAGTGCAAGTCACTCTGCCCATTGCATTGCCCAGACAGAGCCGGATCCCAGGTTTGTCGGGTTTTAATTCAAGTCCTAGAGATCCATCTGGCAACTCCTCCCAGCCCCATCACACCCCAGTTCAGCTGCATGCCTTGAGGGATTACTCGGGTTTCCCCAGCTCCTTAACCCCCAGGAGACTGTTTAGCATCTTCCCTAATTACAGCAGCCTGTGACAACCTCCTCATCCCTAAGGTGCAGGAAGGACGTCAAGGTCAGATGCATTTCTGGGTTCTTCTGTTGAGCAGTTTCACTGTCTGTCTCTGCCAAGGTCTTGCACCGGCCTTAACAGGTTGAATGTCTAATTAATTGCTCTCCTGCTGTTTCTCTCTGTCATCCCACAGGCTGCTTCTGCCCTGAGTTTCCCTTGTGCATCTCAGAGCTGTGCAATGGTTGCTCGGGTGGACTGTTGTCACCACCAGCAAGTGACATCAATTTGCAGGCATCCAGCTGCAGGGCTGGCTGGAGTCTCCAGGTGCCGTCTGAGGCATCGCTTCTCCTTCCTGTGCTTGCAGCCCATTTCTAGCCCTGCAAGCCTCAGGCATCGGATAGGGAGACCAGACCCCTGGGGAGCACCCGCTGCGATACCAGCCCCATGATGGAGGGCAGGTGCTGGCTACCAGCATGGGGCCAGGGCGTTAGTGGGGTGCATGGGAACTCCATCTCCCCCACCAGCAGTATCCTGTCCCCCAGTGCCCCCCAGGTTCTCCCCCAAGCCGCTGGTAAGGGGGGACTGGGAGCTGCTTGGTTTCGGCTCCCCAGCACTGGGGGCTATCACCCAGGGCAGGGAGAGGTATTTCTGCACCTCAATGGCCGGGCTCCGGCGGTTGGGGTCCAGCGTCATCAAGCGCCGGAGCATCTCCAGCGCCCCAGAGTCAAAGCCTTGCCAGGACACAGGCACCCCCCGCCCCGCCTTGCCATCCTGCCAGGCACTGAAGTCCTCGAACTGGGGGTCAGAGCTGGCAGCCACGGCCCAGGGGAAGCAGCCGGTGCAGAGGCAGAAGAGCAGGACAGCAAAGGCCCAGACATCCAGGCTGGAGTCCAGCTCCAGTGTGTCGGAGCCCTGGAGCAGGCAGAGCTCCGGTGGGGAGTAGGGCAAGGTGCCGGACATGGCACCCACTGCCGAGCCCTGTACGCGGGTAAGCCCGAAGTCTCCCAGCTTCACCCGCCGGCACTCATGGTCAAACAGCAGCACGTTGTCCAGCTTGACGTCCCGGTGTACCAGGGCCCGGCTGTGCATGAAGTCCAGCGCCTCGGCCAGCTGGGATGCACAGCGCTTCACCAGCTCCTCCGCCAGGCCCTCCTGCAGGCAGGGTAGCACTGTCGCCCACCACACATCCCCCTCCCTGAAGGGGCTGCTGCAGCACCTAGACAGACCCCTGTCCGGCACCACTGACCTGTGCTTTGCCCCCCAGCAGCCTGTAGCCACATGCCTGCACTGTAAAGTCTCCCCGTGCACAGCACAAGCATGCACCCCACTGCAAAGTGTCTCCTGCCATGCACGGTGTCACTGCACTCACTGCAAAAGGTCTTTCTCCGTGCACAGTGTGGGCATGCACCCCACTGCAAAGGGCCTGCCTGCATGGTGTGAGTGGGTGCTCACTGCAAAGGGTCTCCCCACACACAGCATCACTGCACCCACTGCACCCACTGCAAATGGTGACCCCCACAAGAAACATGACCATGCACCCCACTGCAAAGGGTCTTCCCGCACACAGCATCACTGCACCCACTGCAAAGCTGTCCTGGCACCTTCTCCTCCATCCTCCCACCCC